GAACAAAAACGAAAGTAGCCCGTCACCGCATCAGAATTATCCAAGTCTTTAATGAGTGCGTTTCATAATTTCGATTGTCGGATACTCTTTTAAAGTTGATATTCAAAATTTTGTAATTAATTACAGACAAAAAGACCAGTTCTTCACTACCAGCGTACTCATTAAGTTTGTTGAGCTTAAATTTTAACATTAGAAATAAAATACACGCGAGTGACCCGGAATAGGCGACTCCACTGTATCATTTCGAGTTTCCTCAGATTGCTTGCTAAGTTTGTACATTTCGGCTATTTAATCCTATATCGGGGGTTGGTCTATTAAAGTTCAACAACACAACACTTTTATTTGGATTAAACTGATTAGAAAATGAAAAGAAATGCGCCTACTGTGTAACGATTGTTACAACTGTATTTTGACTATATGATCAAGTGAACATGGTGAAACAAAAAAAAAAAAAATCTTCTATAGGTCCAGTTCAATTTCTTGATAATAGCTATATATCCAAAATTTTACTATATTATACAGTTATGGAATGGGTACGAGGGAAATAGCAAATTTATGGTTCCCCAAGGGAGGAAAAATAGTTTCCAGATGCTAGAAATAAATTTGCTATTTCCCGAGTTCCCATTCCATAACTGTTTTATTACACTGAAACAAGGCGATTTACTTTTTTTTTTACCAGATATTGCAACGTTAAAAAAACAAAAGTAGAGGCATAATTACAAATGCATGTGGTTGAACACTTTGTATGATAGGTAATGCATCGTGCCCTAAAACAAATTAATTATTTCTAAAAAGTATTTCACTGACATTTTGAAGAATTATCGTCGTCTTCATTTTGCTAAATAAAATAATTGCATTAGATTATTAATTTTTACTAGTGTACTCTAAAGCACTCTGTCGTACAAGCGTACTCTGTTTAGAATGACTGCAGTTTATATGCACCATACATGCTAAAGTGTAAGTTTTTGTTTTGCTTAAAAAATATTTCATTTTATTGAGAAAAAAAAAAGTTTAATTAAATATCGAAATCTGACTCTGATCATTTTTTAAAAAGCTTTATTATACCTCTACTGTAATTACTCTATATAAAATTAATACCATAAAACTGCGTAATTCCATGAGAAGAGACTACTGTACTACCCTCAACTGAAGACTACTCCCTGGAAAATCAGAGCTACTTCTGGGACTACTCCCTCATGAATATTTATAAGCAATTTTAGCCAATCAAAGAGTTCAGTAGGCAGAGCGTTCAACATTTTCAAGGAATCTTGAGTCTGTGACGTCTTTTTATTAGCAATGTAACTATGACGTCAAAACATTTCGACATGCTATGCCTAAATCATACTTAAATTTATCGTATTTGCATTAAATCATGAATGTTACGTTATTTTCAAGTCAAAATATTGCTATAAACCAAATACTTGAAATATTTAAATATTAGTTTATGTTATGTTTAAACAATTTTTATGGTCATAAATAAATATATATTTTTGATCCGAAGAGTAGTATCACATCGAGTTGACAGGCGCGGATCATCAGATCTCACGAGACGTGAAGCGTCGAGTGTGATCTGATGATCCGCGCCTGTCAACTCGATGTGATACTACTCTTCGGATCAAGTTACTGTTATAATGATAAATTTATTATATACCCTTATAGCTAGCTAAATCTAACAGAATAAAACTGAAGAGATCAATTGTATAATATTTATCCATAAAACAAAGCATAATAATAAGGGACTTTTTAACGCGCAAGGAAAATAACGTCATGTTTTTGCGTACTACGTCATCAGTTTCAGAGAATGGTGATATGGATTCAGAAAACCAGTGTGGTGATCCAGAAAATCGGATCAAACTCTGTAAAATTAACAGTAACAAAATCAAGGAAATTGATGGGTATATAATAAATAATCTTATTGCATTTAATTACCATATTTTGCTAACATACTGTGAAGAACTCTATCGTACTTAAGCGTACTCTGTTTAGTAGTACCCCATACTTTGTACAGTAATTTTTCAGTGTAAAAGGCACATTTTAAAGTTTAAACAATTCTATTCTCTCAGACAAACAAAACTTACAATGTAAGTTAACAAAACTTACAATGTAAGTTTTGTTTATCTGAGAGAATAGAAAAACAATTAAGAGTTGAAAGAACAAGGTTCACTTTTGCCTTATTTGGCCCTGTGATTTTCTGAAAAACTGAAACTGCATAATTTTAGTTAACATTTGCATTAAATATATTTTAGATCTTCGGTGACTGTGTATCAATAAAAAATGACGTCATATTCTTGCTAGTCAGTGCATTATGACGTCACGAAATGCGTCAATTTCCTCATATTCTGAAAAAGTGTTCAAAAACGGCCAATTTCTAAAGCTATTTCTTGATATTTGATATAGAGCACACTCTCTGATCTAAAATATGCAACTAGTAAATGATAGAACTGTTTCTGAGGATTAATGGACATGTTTTGTTTTTTAGATCAGAGAGTGCACTCATATTTTTCTTCACTGAAAGTACTCAATTTTACCTGTTTACATAAAAATTCAAGAACATTGCAATTTCAAAGAGCCAGTTCTCCGAGACCTGGACTTTTAGCATAAAGATTTTAATAGGATATGAATGTTCCAATTCTCCACGTTACTTTAAAGCTTCAAATAGAGAATCAAGTGTTAATAAATCAATTAGTATATCTACAGGGCCATTTTATGTGTAAAGTGAACCGACTTCTTTCCAGAAAGACATCATTGCAGTCAGTCCACAATTAATGATATCCAATGGAATTTTTAAGGGTTCCAACGGCTGATGTTGACTCAGAAATTCTTATCAGACAAATGTCGTGAGGATGACTGCCATAAAAAAAGTTTAATGGACCTCAGTTTCTTTTCTCATTAAATAAGTAATTATATACTAGAGCAAGATGGTGACATCAAAATTCAATTTTAAGAAATTTTAAACATTTAATTAAGATTTGAAAATTATATGGAAAGGGGTTGAAATACTGGGAGATTTTTCTCACTAGAAGAGTCAAAATATTTTGAGAACAGTCAACTAAGTAAACTTTGTCTAAATTGTTTTGTTAAACTTCTCATTCGATTCTCGAAAAAAAAGTACATCGGTGAATCGAGGTTTAATTTGAATTTTATTTCCGGCAGGTTGGAGCCAGACTATGAAAAAAAAATTACAAACTATGGTGAATTGAGGTTTAATATTAACTTTTTATATTCGGCAGGGTGGAGCCAGATGAAGATGATGATGTCATTGTGACCTCGGTGAAGAGAGCGCGGAAATTCGGACCCCAGACATCAACTCTCAATTGTACGTACTCTTCACGTAATCTGGATAATTTCATGTTTTTTTTTTATTCCACTTTATCTTGCCTTCTAGCAAATTTGTTGCAGGAAAATTTTGAAAAGTCAAATAATATGTTACCAAGAATTTGATTGATTTTTTTTTTATCTATATATCTCTATTGAGATATGAACACATTAAGAGTACCGTATATACTCGCCTATAAGTCGGATTTTTGGGAGTTAATTAATTTCTGGTCCAAAACTCTAGGTCTGACTTATAGGCGAGCTATAAAATGAATGATATTATATGAGGTCAGTCTCTATGATATAAGCTTATTAAATACGACTGACTTATAGGCGGACCGACTTATAGGCGAGTATATACGGTAGATACTGTCTATTTTCAGACATTAAGTAACACATTCATTATAGATGGTGCATGTTTATTTTCAGATCTGAACACATTAATTGCCAATCCCTATCAGAAGATGGCAGACTGGTTTTCAAGAATGAAGGCTTGGTCAGAGCATTATTTCTTTAAGAAGGCTCCCAATGGGGAGAAGCCCAATGGGGAGTCCAGGACAGGGGCACCTGGGGGTCAACTGGGTCAAGGTCAACCGGTCACCTCAAGAGTTAGTGCCACAATTGACAGGTTCAAGGCACCAGGGGATGGAGTGAAGAAGTCAGGTTTCCAGACAACCAATGGGAATGATCAGCCAGTTCGTAATACCCTTGCCAGGGCATCAGAAGGGGTGCAGACACAGGTCAAGGTCAAATTTAACCATTAGATTTTCACAGTTACACTTTACGAAAAATATCTTATAGTGAATAAAATCATATTTAATCAAAGAAATAATTCTTGTAAAAAATGTTTTTATCTCTTATTCAGTCTGACAACAGATCAGGTAGAAAATCAACATTTCACCCCGCCCCCACCATCCAGACGACTTCTGTCACCACCCCCTCATCATCTCAGTCAACACAGACCACTACCTCAGTCCAGACAGACCACTCAGGTAAGTCAATCCACTCCTCATAGATCCTCCACACAGACCACTACCTCAGTCCAGACAGACCACTCAGGTAAGTCAATCCACTCCTCATAGATCCACCTCACAGACCACTCAGGTAAGTCAATCCACTCCTCATAGATCCTCCACACAGAACACTCAGGTAAGTCAATCCACTCCTTATAGATCCTCCACACAGACCACTACCTCAGTCCAGACAGACCACTCAGGTGAGTCAATCCACTCCTCATAGATCCACCACACAGACCACTACCTCAGTCCAGACAGACCACTCAGGTAAGTCAGTCCACTCCTTATAGATCCTCCAGACAGACCACTCAGGTAAGTCAATCCACTCCTCATAGATCCACCACACAGACCTCTACCTCAGTCCAGACAGACCACTCAGGTAAGTCAATCCACTCCTCATAGATCCTCCACATAGTAGACCCCACCTCCCCACTTACGATCACTTTAGATTAGTGTTGGCAACGAGTACCCGGTTAACCGGTTAACCGTCGAACGTTGCGAGTATCGGTTAGTAAAACTGCTATTCGGTTACTCGGAGAAAATAAATTCTACATAGTAAAGACATAGAAAATGAATGTTTTAAAATTTATAAATGTATACTAACTTACACATTTCCCTAATTTTAGATACCGTTAGACTTGATCTAGTGTATGGTTGTAGTGAATCAAATTGTTTTGATTAGTTTTCACAGTTTATATAATTGATAGCTTTGATTGCTTGGGGTATACATATTTTGAAGGCCTGAGTTATAATTACCTCATTTGATAATTTAACGAGATGCCGCCGCAGACATAATAAGCTTGGAGTTGTAACAAAAGAACAGCTGATTCAAAATCTGTTAAATCACCTAAGCTTAAATTATTCGGAAACCAGCGATTTACTGGACACTCCACATATCAACTATTAATTATGGAGTATGTAAATAATTATTCTCCTTGATTGCGACATACTAAGTATTTCGGGGGCTGAAACATAAAGTGTAAAATGGTGATTGACGATGATGTATGTATTTGTCTTTGTGTGTCGAATTCCATATTAATTTTCTTTATTTTAAAATCGTAAATCTTTGACGATATCGTATGTGTGTATTGTAAATATAATGTCTCTATACAGTATATTTGTGCATTACTACTACCGATAAGTATAGAATAAGATAAATAATAGATATTGATACTTTTACCAAAAATCATACGAGTAACCGGGTACTCGATCGGAAGATGAAGCGAGTAACCGGTTACTAAAAATCGTCCGATTTGCCAAAACTACTTTAGATATTGAAAATTCTTTGAAAAAAAAAAAAATAATTGATAGCATAATTAAAAAGTGTACTGATGAAATTGAAGCAAAGATTTGCTTATTCAGTCAGGCTTACAGATTTATTATGCCCCCCTTCGAAGAAGGGAGGGCATATTGCTTTGCTGCTGTCTGTCGGTCCGTCGGTCGGTCTGTCGGTCGGTCTGTCGGTCCACTTAGTTTCCGTCCATTTCCTTCGCAACCGTTGCACATACTGAAATGAAATTTGGTATACAGATATATCACATGAATATCTAGGTCAAGTTCTGTTATGGGTACGGTCACACCATTTTTGACAGAGTTATGCCCCTTGGACTTAGAAAAATTCCAATTATTTGCAGTTTCCGTTCATTTTCTTTGCAACCGTTGCACATACTGAAATGAAATTTGGTATACAGATATATCACATGAATATCTAAGTCAAGTTCTGTTATGGCTACAATCGCACCATTTTTGACAGAGTTATGCCCCTTGGACTTAGAAAAATTCCAATTATTTGCAGTTTCCTTTCATTTTCTTTGCAACCGTTGCACATACTGAAATGAAATTTGGTATACAAATATATCACATGAATATCTAGGTTAAGTTCTGTTTTGGGTACAATCGCACCATTTTTGACAGAGTTATGCCCCCTGAACTCAGAAAAATTTCAATTATTTGCAGTTTCCATTCATTTCCTTTGCAACCGTTGCACATACTGAAATGAAATTTGGTATACAGATATATCACATGAATATCTAGGTCAAGTTCTGTTTTGGGTACAATCACACAATTTCTGACATAGTTATGCCCCTTGGACTTAGAAAAATTCCAATTATTTGAAGTTTCCGTTCATTTTCTTCACAACCGTTGCAAATACTGAGATGAAATTCAGTATATAGATTTATCAGATGAATATCTAGATTACATTCTGTTTTGGGTACCATTGCACTATTTTTGACAGATTTATGCCCCTTGGACTTACAAAAAAATTCCAATTATTTGCAGTTTCCTTTCATTTTGTTTGCAGAGGTTGCACATACTAAAATGAAATTTGGTATACAGATTTATCAGATGACTATCTTGGTCAAGTTCTGTTTTGGGTACATGTACAATCCTGCCATTTTTGACAGAGCTATGCCCTTTTGGACTTGGAAAAATTCCAATTTGGGGGGAGGGGGGGCATAAGTGTTTTACAAACATCTCTTGTTTTGTTTGAATTTTCTGTTCTATATTTAGATATTTGGCACAGGATAAGAGATTTAGACACTGTACAACCAAAACGCCATGAAGACAGATTATTGTTCACCCGTCCACCTCGACAGAAGTTTACAGCTCTAGAGGTATTCAGTTTACTGCTCTAAAACAGGCTTAAAAGTTTAAAAGTCTGCATGTAAATACAGTAAAACAGGATTGTAAATTTACAGCTCTGCATGTACTCTCAGTCCTTTGATGTTTTTAGCTCACCTCGACGAAGTCGAGATGAGCTTATGCTATACCCCCGGCGTTGGCGTCGGCGAAGTCGAGATGAGCTTATGCTATACCCCCGGCGTTGGCATCGGCGTCCCAGGTTAAAGTTTTAGGAGCAAGTCCATTCCCAAGTAACTATAAGCCCTATCTGATCCAAACTTGCATGGATGTTGCATCTAGGGATGTACACTACCAGACTTGCTTTGGATGCTGGATCTGACCTACATTTTCTAGATGAGTGACCAAGTTAAAGTTTTTGGAGCAGGTTAAAGTTTTTGGAGCAGGTCCATTCCCAAGGAATTATTAGTCCTACCCAGACCAAACTTGCATGGATGATGCATCTAGGAATGTATACTACCAGACTTGCTTCGGATGCTGGATCTGACCTACATTTTCCAGATGAGTGACCAGGTTAAAGTTTTTGGAGCAGGTCTATTCCCAAGGAACTATAAGCCCTACCTGAACCAAACTTGCATGGATGATGCATCTAGGGATGTACAATACCAGACTTGCTTCGGATGCTGAATCTGACCTACATTGTCTAGATGAGTAACCAGGTTAAACTTATTGGAGTAGGTCCATTCCACAGTAACTATAAGCCCTATTTGGACCAAACTTGCATGGATGATGCATCTGGGGATGGACACTACCAGACTTGCTTCGGATGCTGGATCTGACCTACATTTTCATTCCCAAGGAACTATGAGCTCTATTTGGACCAAACTTGCATGGATGATGTATCTAGGGATGGACACTACCAGACTTGCTTGGGATGCTGGATCTGACCTACATTTTCATTCCCAAGTAACTATAAGCCCTACCTGAACCAAACTTGCATGGATGATGCATCTAGGGATGGACACTACCAGGCTTGCTTCAGATGCTGGATCTGACTTACATTTTCATTCCCAAGTAACTATAAGCCCTACCTGAACCAAACTTGCATGGATGATGCATCTAGGGATGGACACTTCCAGACTTGCTTCGGATGCTGGATCAGACCTACATTTTCATTTCAAAGTAACTATAAGCCCTACCTGAACCAAACTTGCATGGATGATGCATCTAGGGATGGACACTACCAGACTTGCTTGGGATGCTGGATCTGACCTACATTTTCATTCCCAAGTAACTATGACCCCTACCTGAAGCAAACTTGCATGGATGATGTATCTAGGGATGGACACTACCAGACTTGCTTCGGATGCTGGATCTGACCTACATTTTTCATTCCCAAGTAACTGTAAGCCCTAGCTAAACCAAACTTGCATCGATGATGTATCTTAGGATGGACACTACCAGGCTTGCTTCGGATGCTGGATCTGACCTACATTTTCATTCCCAAGTAACTATAAGCCCTAGCTAAACCAAACTTGCATGGATGATGCATCTTAGGATGGACACTATTAGACTTGCTTGGGATGCTGGATCCGACCTATATTTTCCATACAAGAGCCCAGGTTAAAGTTTTGGGAACAGATCAATCCGAATGAACTTGAAGTCTTTGATATCTGCAGTTTTAACAGTTATGAATATTTGTTTACACAATACATGTTTTTCACACTAGATGCATAGAAATGTGTATATACCATGTAGAGGGTTAAGCATAACTTGCAAGAATATTGTTGTTGGGATGAATACTTAATATTAAGAAAATATGATGTAGGATTTGCATTACTTAAACTGATAACATTCCTCGAGGTGAGCTTCGTAATCTTTGATTACCTATGTTTTTAGTGTAGTGTGTATAATTGTCTCATTACCCTCAGTCCTTTTGATTTTTATTTTTTGTGTGTGTTAGTCTGTCTCATTACCCTCAGTCCTTTGATTTTTATTTTTCTGTAGTGTGTTAGTCTGTCTCAGTACCCTCAGTCCTTTGATTTTTTTCTGTAGTGTGTTAGTCTGTCTCAGTACCCTCAGTCCTTTGTTTTTTCTGTAGTGTGTTTGTCTGTCTCAGTACCCTCAGTCCTTTGTTTTTTCTGAAGTGTGTTAGTCTGTCTCAGTACCCTCAGTCCCTTGTTTTTTCTGTAGTGTGTTAGTCTGTCTCAGTACCCTCAGTCCTTTGATTTTTATTTTTTGTGTGTGTTAGTCTGTCTCAGTACCCTAGGTCCTTTGTTTTTTCTGTAGTGTGTTTGTCTGTCTCAGTACCCTCAGTCCTTTGTTTTTTCTGTAGTGTGTTAGTCTGTCTCAGTACCCTCAGTCCTTTGTTTTTTCTGTAGTGTGTTAGTCTGTCTCGGTACCCTCAGTCCTTTGATTTTTATTTTTCTGTAGTGTGTTAGTCTGTCTCAGTACCCTCAGTCCTTCGTTTTTTATGTAGTGTGTTAGTCTGTCTCGGTACCCTCAGTCCTTTGATTTTTATTTTTCTGTAGTGTGTTAGTCTGT